TATACTAGTTTGATTAATGGTGAGTACATCGTATATATTATATCGCCAGACTCGGCAGTACCTAGCGACCACAGTGGGTCACCTGGGCCTGTTTCACAGTCGCAGTGGTCGATTGTGCTAATAGATGGTATTTTGAGCTGTGTTATTTGGTAGATTATACTTCTCAGTGGCGGCACGAGGTCTCCTAAGAAACACAAGCTATAGATAATCCTCTGTTAAAGTCTGCCGAATAGTTCTCGAAATAAGTACTTCAAAATAGTTAAAAGATAAACTTTTTCGTTTAAGCAATCAGCTTTTAAAATATCGACGAAAACTTTGAAGTCCTGAGTTGATATCCGTTAACAAAGTGAGTACCCATATCTTGCCTGGTTTATAATCTGTTCGACCCTGCTCACTGTGACGGTTGTAAATTGCCCATTTAAGTTTATCTTGTCTGTTAGCTTCTAGTGTTTCTGCAAACGAGATGATCCGAAACTGGGTAAAGCATCCAAAAAAATATTCTTCCGGACTTTGATGGATGAGGGTTAACCTTGACTCTACGCCAGCAACGATTTGTATTTTCTCCGAAATTAAGGTCCTCCTCAGATTAGGTAAATAAATAACTAGAATGCGCCAACGTTTAGACACAATCACTATATCAGAACATGGAAAAAAATGTCTATTAGTGATGTGCTTTCTCATTATTTTCGGTGAACTAGTTCAGTAGTCGTTTCGACTAAAACGAACGAGTTCTAGGAACTAGTTCCAGGAGTGTGCCACTGAAAACGTCGCCTTCTATCCGATCGCCAGAGAGTTGGGCGCAGTTAGTAATTGGATGGGTGACTGCATATTGCTAGTTTTTTACGGTTTTTCTTTTTTACTTCACACGTCATACTGGTATAAAATTTCGAAAATGTGATATATTTTTTGAATCTTATACAGCGTTTTTTTATATTCGAACCACTACGAAGGCCTAAGGCCTAAACACCCATGGGGTACCGTTGGGCTATAGGGGGATACAGGGGAAAGGGGGGACGCCACACGGACTCCGATGAGAAAACACGTGTGCATGCAACATGCACACGTTCTGGCCCCGCCTACGAGATTCGTCGGGTGGTACCTCCGCGTTTGACAGTCAGAGGCCGTCTACCACCTACGGACAATCACAACATCCATAGAAAAGAGAAACATTTCTCTTGGGTCGGGATTCGAACCCGCACTCGAAAGAACTAAAATTTGGTATGTGGATTTACCGAAGTATTGTCCACATTCAAAAGTCCTTACTTAAAATTAAGGTGCACCAGTGGCGGATATACAGGGGATTAGTGACATTACTTTTCCAAATAAAAATAATACGCCACTGTTTTTTTTTCGAAACGCGTAATTTTTCGAATTTAACCTTCAATTTGCTACAAATATAATTACACTTGTGTTGTTTTCCTAGATATAGTCACTTTTAAAATGAAATAGGAGGTCTTGATACCAACTTGACGTTTCTTGGGAGATAGTTTGTCAAAGTTATGTGTTATATGGTTTTTATCGTTACTACTACCATTTTTGTTTGTAAAAAGTCAAGGCAGAAGTTTATTTTTTCCATTTTTGAGTGTTGTGAAATAGAATTTGGCAATGATGAGTACGCCGATATTATTTTTGTGTACGGGTTCTGTAACGGAAATGCTTTAGCGACTCTTCGGGAATATCAACGTAGATTTCCTAACAGACGCTAAACTACCCCTAGGGTTTTTTCATTTCTAAGACTTCGGCAAAATGGAATCGCCAAACTTCGCGAAGCTAAAGGCCATGGTGTCCAGCATGCAGTTCAAGAGGAACTGAAAGTGATTAATTTGGCGTTGGATGATCCTAGTACAAGTACTAGGTGGATTGCAGCCCAGTTACCATGTTCCCAAAGTCCTGCGTGGAGAAGTTTAAATCCGGAAGTTGTACATCCTTACTATCGGCAAAATGTGCAATGTCTGCAACCCGGCGACGAAGTGCAACGGTGAAATTTTTGTGGTTACTTCAAATGCATAATCCAAATGCAGATTTTATTGATTTGGTTTTGTGGTCAGATGGATCGCTTTTTACGAGGAGTGGAACCTTTACTTCTCATCATAAACATATTTGATCGTTAGAAAATCCCGATTCTGTAAGAATCCATTCATTTCAACATCGATTTTCTAGAAATGTCTGGTGCGGCATTTTGAATAGCCAACTGTTTATACACGTATTGTCGCAATGTTTAAATGCAAACTCATGCTTAGCTTTTCTAGAGGATTACATAGAAAATCAGTTAGATGATGTTTCGTTAGAGACGGAAGAACGAATGTGACATAACCGCATGGTTAAATAATCATTTCAGGCAACGATGGATTGGCAGAAAAGGACCCGTACATTGGCCTGCAGGGTCTCGTGGTTTGAACCACTGGATTTCTTTTTGTGAGGCGCTTTTAAACAACTAGTGTATGCTGAGCAAATTAATACTGTTGATTAGTTACAAGAAAGAATAGATATTGCGTTTCATCAAATTCAAGCCACAGCAGATTCTGCGGAAATACGTTTTTATTTATTAAAAAGATGCCGCATCGTTTATTTTTTCCTGAATTTATTTGAGATGGGATTTCCAAATAAGAAGTATTTAAATATGACGTTTCGTATCTTGTTTTGGATCATCAACTTTATTTTTTATAGAAGCCACATTTTCACAGAGGTGAATAGCGATTTTGCTTCTAAAAATGTATAACATGTCATACACTGCAGAACCCTAGCTATTTCAAAAACATTTTTGCGTGTTTTTGCCCCTAGCTTTGCCGCCGCTAGACCGACTTAAAAAACTGTGAAGCTTTTTTGTCGTTGGCTTAGTAGTGACCTTGTGTGAAAATTTTATCGAAATCCGAGCGTTACTTCCCAAGTCATTGGCGGTCCAAGGACAGACCGACAGACAGACAGACAGACTGACGAAAATTCGAACAGCATATCTAATTGGGGCTTATAGACATAATATAGTAAATACTGTAACATCTGAAACTCATCCTGTGGTGCGGTGTAATGATTTTATGCTGAACAGGAGTAGTCATGATCAGATTTGATGGTTTTTTGATTAATATATCGAAGCTATCCCACGGCTACTGCTATTCTGCGTAAAAGCGCTGCACCGTTGGAGTACTTTTCATTGGCTTAAGGGTCGTTTGTCATTTTGTCATTTATACCGAGGTAGCTGAAACGTCACTAAATCTCCAACTCTAACATCTGTGGTTTTATTTGGCGGCCAAGGAAACGTGGGAACTCAAAAATATGTAAGTGCTGCTCGCACTTTAAAAGTAGAACGTTTTTACACAAGATACTACTGAACGAAGGGAAAAAAGCTTGTTAGGTTTTGAATTGCGATACAGACGAAAACGGAAATATTCAAAATGTCTTGTTTCCTCTGTGTTTCCAATTTGTGACAATAATTCTTCGGTCTCGTCAGACATTTTTTTGTAACTAACGCAATTTAAAGAAAATCCCCAACATTAATATTCCATGTGTTTCAAGTTCCTAATCTATCAACATATCTGAATTAATGCGTTTTTCATTTTTTACTAATCACTAACGACGCTTAAAATTTGGATAGGTTTATATCATGGTGTATTATCAGTATATTTTTTCTGCTACAGTTACCGAGAAACGCCCGTTTATACAGTACCTAAATCATGATCGAATATTAGCGAAGATAAATGTGAACAGAATTATAATAACTTTCCAAGCAAATCATGAAAAATACTTTGCATAAACGACCTCTTTCGCTATAGGCCTGGACGTCGTCTAATTTATAACCCTTGCTTAAATGTACTGTTTGATTAGTGGGAGATAAATACAATTTAACACTGGTATATCCTTATTTATGCACGGATTGGGAGAACAAGTACGCCAGAGCGAAATAAATATGGATATAAAATTAAACATGTTTATCCCGATTCGGTTGTGAATTAAACCTGCCGAGGAAAACCATTTTGAGTACAATACGGCGGATGCTACAAAATGGCCCTGAGACATGGATAGCAAAGATGTATGAAAGTTATACAGAAATAACCCATCTAGTTATTAGACATCATAAGTACTAAAAAATGAAAAATAACTTTTAAAAACACGCTTTTACTTTGCTGATAATGAAACGCACTAAGAATTTTAAAATATGCGTGGTACGTTTTCACAGCAGGATGGAATAGGATGTAACAAGCTTTGATTTGAAAATTTGAGATGAAGGAGTTTCATTATCGTTTTCGATCGGAAAATTTATTTTAAATTCTATATTTCGTTTTATTATCAGCTGTATCAAAGAAAAATGTATATTTTTATTTTATTTATATCGTTTCAAGTACACCAGCTCCGCTGTCATTTTTCGGACCCATATTAATTGGATTTTTTTAATAACATCTAGGGGACGAATACATTCTTTCAAAATGGCCGAACCTTTGATATAAGGAGTACTTCCTAGAACAGCCTCTTAGCGGCATTAAGTGTGGAGTCATATCAGGTTAAATTGGAACGAGCCCAGACTCGTTTATACTCACGATTCGTATTCAAGCTCAGAAGCGATTACATACGTCTTTTGCCGATAAATTGCTAACTAACCTTCTTTCACTTGACTTCCGCTGTGTTTGCGAGCCTAAAGAACTTTTCTAAAGCGATTTTCAAACTGCCTAATGTTAGTAGTACTGGGAAAAGCCTTATCAGTTAGATTTTTCCACAGTCTCGACATCTATGGACTATGGAAAACGGAGTGGTCGTATCGGCCAGTTCTGTTTGTTCGGAATTCGACACGGTTACTATAGGAGGCATACACATCGCGCGTCGCCATCGTAAAGGAAAGCTCTCAGGAGCAAAGCCCGTTGACATACCGGTAAAAGATAGATAGATCGCTAACGGCTTGTCGGTGAAAAAGATTCCCGAGACTGTCCGTTAGAGAAGATTCTTCGGTGAGGCGGTCAGCCCTCCTATGAACAGCATCGAGCATTCACAATGTAGTCGCGGTAGCAACTAACCTGTATAATATGTTGATCAATTTTAGTGATTGGTGAGGACAGGCAAACGAAGCTGACCCCGTGGTCATGTACCAAAGGTTGTACAGGGTGATAGTCGTCAACATCGCATTCGTATTCTGCCTCCAATTCTACTTTCTGCGGAGGTGATGCAAACAGAACGCGGTTTTCACTAGTTGACGTGGACCTATAACAAAAATAATATATGTAATTAAGAAGTTTTAGCTGGTCTAAAGTACTACCAAAAAGACATGATTTCCGGTAACTTCGTGACCTGATCAATGAAAATCATGTAATCAGTAAATATTATTCTTATGCATAATGATGTAAATACATTTCTTTCGATTTGTTGCCCAAGTACAATATCGTCTGGCGGGTTAGTGATTTTCAAGGGATAAATAATAGGAGTTTGTGGTCTTCGTATATCTTCTTTAAGCTTAAGCAATACATAAGTCATAGCCATAGCAAAATTGTATTTATTTAATGTTCAAAAAATTCGGAAGAATAAATCTTCTTAGACGAAGTTGCGAAATTTTCAAACCTAGTCTTACTGCGTCTGAGTACCTGGTAATAAGATAAAAAAGTACATAGCAGATTGGCATGTAATTTGAAACTTACTTGAGGTATTCGATGAGACTATCTGTTGGACTCAGTCTGTTTCGAGTATGGTAATGTTGATGACAGAGTGAGATGTGGTCCATGACTGCTTGAGTGCGATATATCTTCTCCAGATTAATTAAACCTCCAGGTCCCACTGTTGTGAAGTGATGATCTTCACCATCATAGTCCGATATGAACTGAAAAAAAATATATAAAAAAAGAGATAATGAGTCTATTGTTTTTTGGATGTTATATGACATGTACGCCATTCATGTTTGTGGGTCTGTCGGTCTGTCTGTCTGTCGCTAATCATTGGCCCGTCTATAACTTGGTAAGTACCGCCAGTATTTGGATGAAATTTTCACACAAGATTACCAACATTCCAGGGACCAAAAATCTTTGTGACTTTTGAAAATCGATCTAGTGGCGGCGGAGATGCCAGAAACTACTTCCAATCCCGGCAATTATACCCACTCATATTTCAAACATAATAGATTTTATAAAAAAACAACAATTTTGATTAAATACCATATTTGTAGTATCCTCCAAGTGACCCCTCGGCTGTTTCGTCTGTAACATATTGGCATAATTGTGGTCCAGTTGGACTAATAACTAGTGGAATGCTTCGATTTTGGCTTAAATCATCTGTGGATTGCTTGAATAGACAGAGAAATCGTCACAAAAAGTAACAAGTGGCGTTAGATTGTATAATATTGGTGGACGGCGGAAATCGCCAGTGCAAGAAATCACGCCTCCATCAGATAAGCAATTTCACAATATCAAAGTTTCCTTCGCCATATGATACGTGGCCCTTGCTGGAAAACAGAACTGTTTTGATGCATAATGGGCCATATTTATAGAAAAATTTACCAAGAAAAGAAATGGCGTCAAGTAGGTTGACTCTGCACTTCCCACGAAATTGTTCATGCTTTTGATTCATATCATTTGTTATATAGCCTGAAATTTCCTACAATTCAAGAAAAAAACATAGCCTGACAATAGGAGAGCGCTGACGCTGACACGGAACCGTAGAAATCTAGAAATATTCCAGCCTTTCTGAAGGAGAGGAAATACTATGAAAATCAATGAGGCCATAAAGGCGTCCTACAGTTGTAGGAACGACCGACGATACGGCCCTTAGAGAAGCTCTACCAGTATACCATACGAGTAGCAGCCATGGATGATTCTGAATGTCAGGTCCCCTCGCGATCTTCGCTCAGCGAGTGTTGTCAAATTCATAGCCCTTAGACGTTGTTCATGGGACAAATGTCGAATCCCTGGAGGAATTCGTCTTATTTTCCTTTGCAATCTTTCAAGTAGTTCATTGTCTTTGACAAAATATGTACATTTTGTATAGCTTTTCTATTATAGCAGGAAAAAGGTTTTTACAGCTTTCTCTATAAAATATAGCAGTGAGTTGACTTTTTTTAATATTGTAGGTAATGTGAGCTTCCCGTTTTATAATGCTATTATAACTCCTAGGTCTCTCTGGTACTGTACATTTTCAGTTTCTACCTGCCATATACTGCACTTTTCTGCATTGAGTGACATTTGCCATTTCTTAGACCACTTCTAGATGGCGAGTATGTCTTTTTTAATTTCGACCCCTTGGAATGTAGGGTTACCGAAAAGCTTGCTATTATCTGCATAGCAGGAAATGTCGGTTTTTATATCCACTGATAGAACTGACGTTTAACAAGGAATAGAAGAGGTACAGAGCCTTGTGGAACACCACAGACTGTGGGTAATAATAAATGGTAAAGCTTGGTTCCTGTACAGCAGTATTTACAACACTTCTCTCACCTACCACTTGCCTCTGCTGTTCCACTGCTGACCGCGTAGCATGGCCGTGCTTGGGCGGCTTCCCCAGTGGTGATCCGGTCTGTGCTGATGACGTTTCGCCACCCTCGTGCCCGCCAGCCGCCAGGATCTCCCGCAGCTCCCTGAGGAAGGCACCGAAAAAGGGTACCACCGGACACTCGGCCATCGCTAGAGATCGGCTCAGGGCACGGTCGTACTCGGCAGAGAGGAGGGCGGCCGACAGGAAGTCCAGCACCGGTAGGGTTTCCTTTTCGGTGATGGATAGCCAGAACGGTTTGAGTTTGTTCGATCTGGAACAAAGATTAATGGTGTTATGCCAATACCCAACTAGCATTTTGTTAAAATGGGCTACCACGCAAGAAAAGGTTATCTTTATTTGTCAAATTTTAGTAATTATGTCCTCGACTGATGTTCTCAAAAGTAGTGTATTAAAATGACCGAACATTTTTTCTTAGTGCAATTTTTTGCTTTTTGAATAAAAAAGTGATTCTTCGCACTTTTCAACATAAAAAAGCTCTCCTGTGAGTTTTCGTTATAGTTAGCCGTTTTTGAGATATTTTTATCGATTTTTAAGGTTCGATGCATTTTTAATTATCTATGGGAAAATAATATTTTTTTTTACATTTTCGATTTGGGCGTTACAAGTAATTAAGATGATCGTTTAGATTGTGTTTTTAAACACAGCAATAATTCCTAACTCCAAATAAACACAAAAAAACAGAATATTACTTTGTTTAATTTTCCAATATTATTTTTTACAAATTAAATTAATTATTTACAACTAAAATGCTATTGGATAGTTAGGGCAAACATACAAAATCTAAAGTAGTTGCTCGAAATGTAAACCCAATTGTTCAATACACAATTCACATCTACGAATGATCGAACGTGGTATAGCATTATTCAAATAAGGCCTTATTTCATCACATGCATTCCTGATTCTGTCTATTAGCATATCTCTTGTGGTTACGGGAGTCTAGTACACTGTTTCTTTTAGAAATCCCCACACAAAGAAATCTAATGTATTTTGGTCAGGAGATCGTGGAGGCCAGGCGACTGGTCCTCCACGGCCGATCCATCTTTCTGGATAATTTTCGTCCAGACAGTTTCTAACTATTCTCGAATAATGAGCTGGACAACCATCAAGCTGGAACCAGGCCAATCTTCTTAAATCTAACATAACATCATCCCACATATTTGCATGTTCAGCCTTTAAAAATTCCAAGAAGGTCGCAGCATTTAACCTTGCAGGCAAAAGGTAGGGTCCAAATAGTCGATTACGGTAGATACCAATCCACACGTTCACACTAAATTCATGCTGAAAATTTCTTTCCCGAACTGCATGCGGATTTTCATGCGACCAAATAATTATGTTGATTATGAAAATTTACCACTCCACGTCTAGTGAAGCATGACCCATCGGTCCATAAAACGTTACTTAAAAAATCTCTATTATTATCAGTTCTATCAAGAATCCACTGACAAAATGTATTCTTCGTTCTCCGTCCTCTGGTTGTAGTCCTTGCACAGGTTGCAAATGGTAAGGACGTCTATGGTCATTTCTAAGAAACGGTGAACATGGCTTGCTGAAATTCCCAAGGCACCAGAAACTCTCCTAACACTTGTGGTCGGATCTCTATCAAACTCACGCAGAATCATACGGAATCATGCGTTGTCGAACATTTATGTTTTGATGCCTTTGGAGATTTCCAAAACCATTTTCAATTATTTGAAGATGCACTCTTACAAATACTGGGCGAGTTGGATGTCGTCTGTTTGGAAATCTTCGTGCGTATTCTCTGGCTGCTTCTGCTGCGTTTCCATTTACAAAGCCAAAATGAATATCCGCTAACTCTTGATTGGAGAATAAAAATGGCATTTTTATAAAACTTACAAAAAAACAGGTAAAAGAAACTAAATGTCGTGCATTCACAATTGCAGAAAAACGTTTCAGGTTTCAACAGACAACAAAACTAACTGTCAACTAATTGACGTTTAACCTTATTCTGCTTTCAATCTCAAAAATATTTGCAGGCGCAGTCTACTTCTAAAAATTCACAAGAGAGCTTTTTTATGTCGAAAAGTGCGAAGAATCAGTTTTTTTATTAAAAAAGCAAAAAATTGCACTAAGAAACAATTTATATATATATATATATAATACATGATACACTTTCAGTGTTTATGACATCCAGCAATTGCCCCAGCGCATTTAATATTAGGTTAGATTGGATGGTGTTGGTAAGATCTAAAAAAATAGATAGCGTTGTATAACGAAAACCTGCATGGAGACTAAATACGAAACCGGGGGCATTAAAATCGCCAAGCATCAAAACGTTGGGTTGATTGATTATTAACGTACTCATGTGTGACAAAAAACTTTCGTAAGTGTCATTTGAAGTATTTGGTGGAATATAAATAACATAAACAAACAGAGTGAGTGGTAGCTTGCACTTAATCGCAACTATGTCAATGGAAGGATAATCAGTAGACAAATCCAAAAAAAACATACTCTGCCATAAAACTAGTTTTACATGCCAACAATATACCCCCACCAGACAATTTCTTTGTTCTTACAAAATCACGGTCACTACGAAACACACTGTAGTTTCCAGGAAAAATTTCAGAGTCACGTACTTTGTCGGACAGCCAAGTTTCTTTCAAACCAATTAGATCATATTCATTCAAGGTTGCCGATAAAAATAAATCATCAATTTTGGAATTCTGATAATACGCTCGAAAATCGGCGCTGTTGGGTCTATTCATTTTAAATTAGCAAAAATTTTTGGAAGCCCATTTACATATTTGATTCTGATGTTGTTCTCACCTGCAGCAATCCTCTGATCAAGTTCATGTATGACTTTTCTATAAAATTCCTGTTAATTTGGTGTTCTGTCAGTAGAAATACTTATTCTTGTATTCCTGTTACCGGATCTAAGTTTAGCAGAGTTTTTAATGCATAACATGACATCTTGATTGTTCCGCAGAGATACCTATACCGGCCTAGGCCTATCCTTTGTGGGATCAAACTTTCCTAGCCTGAATAGTCTGACATTGGTATCATTTTCTGTAGAAAGGGACTGCAATATACTTTTAACCTGTTGATTATCATTAGCTATCTGTTCCTGCTTTGTCCTACTTTGATCTTCAGTAAGTCCAAAAATAATAATATGTTATTTCCTACGGTTCCGCTCTTCAATTTCTTGAAGAACCTCCTCATAATCCATTGGTGATAAAGACTGTGCAGGAAGGGGAGATTCCTTTTTCAGCTTTTCTAGTTCCTTGATCAAATTATCAACTTTTTGATTTAATTTTGGAACCAGCCTAATTCCCAAAAGACATGCCATTTAGCTCAGAGCCATTGAGTTCAGAACATTCTGAATGAATAGGTCTCTCGCAGCTATGATAGCTATCATAGGATAAATAGGAACAATTATCCGACTTTTTACATTTTTAACATTCCATGATCGAAACTAGCTATGGCTCCGCCACTGTCCTTACAACGTTATGGAATTTCAAGAAGCCAAATAATGATCCTTTTCACGCTGGCTGGACCAGTTTTTACATACGATCAGCTCAGCAATTGTAAGAAGACAGATTGATCAATCTCAGAAGCTGACTTATGCACCGTGGAACAATATCACGAACCAAGCAAGCATACAGACAAATAGCACCTTTCTTCCCCAACAATATAATGTAAGTTTCAGATCGTTTAGACGAGTATTTACCACTAAAAACTGATGATTTCACAGGAGCTCTATACGGCAGCGTACACACATACACATCTTTATCAAACTCCTAATACCTAACGTAATATTGAAGTGATATTTTCGACTTTATAACACGTTTCAGAACCTACCCTTTTTTCCTTGGAACAAGCAGAATATGGGATTTTAAAAAAACCACACAGTATAATAGAGTATAAACCACAAAATCAAAATCATAATCAAATACCAAAAGTTACTAATACTCCGATGTTTTAAACTTAATCTTTTAACAGCCGTTGTTTATCTTCCAGCTTCTGAATATGATGGAAAAACAATCGAGGAACAACAAATCCACTAATTCGAAGAAATGCCAGGTCTTATCAATTTACGGGAGGGTGTTCGTGACATGATTTTCGGTAATAGAATGGTTATGGAAATCCCGCCATATTACCTGACCAATAGGTTAATAAAAACAGGTAAATGATAAAAACCAACATGGGTATTTCAAAAGAGATGGCTGGATAATGCCGTACTCACGTCACTTATGTGACTCAATGGAAAAACTCATCACATGAATATGCAGAAATGCATTTAATTTATGGATTGTGCAATGTAAATGTTGGATGAGCTGCCGAAGAATATCGAAACCGATATCCCCGTAGAGCAAATTTTCCAGACCATCGTACATTTATTCGTGTACAGAGAGCCTAAGCAGCAGGAGAAATGGCTGAGAGACCAGTAAGAACAGGAATCCTTGGCATCCTCTGAGTAGATGCTGAAGATGTGGTGCCACAGTTAACTGCAAATGATACTTCTAGCAGCGTGCGTCATGTTTCGCGGAATGCTGATGTATGTAGCTATGTCGACACCTGTTTGTCAGGCACTTCTTGCAGAACCCAAACAGAGTCCAGTTTTGCAGAAGGATGCACCAAGAACACAGAAAAGCAGAAAAGAATCGCTTCACTTCATAAAAATCTTATGAACGAACGAGGCTTATTTTTTAAGAACAGGAATGTGTAAGGAAGAAGGAAGAATTTTTTTTACAGACCTCCTTGAATATGCTGTAGTCTTTTCGACAACAGTCAAAATTGCCGAATAGTCGATTGCCGATTACCTACATTAACTAGACTAAATTTACATACATAACTTTTTTCTAGAGACACATCACATAGGAATATATCTTGTAAATCTGATTGAAAAATCACAGAAGACAACTTGAGAAAAAAATAGTATAGTCTCAAAAGTGTAGATTTTGGACAATTTCCTAAAAATGGCGATAACTCAAAAACCGTGCACAATCGGGTTGAGGCATATATGGTTTTTATGATTGCAAATGATCCCCTATCATCTCATTTAATTTGCTCGATGACTTTTGGGACACTGTGAGATATTGGTAGTTTGAACCACATCCACTGATGAGTATGCACAACCGGCAATGATGTATCCTTAACAGCCGAAGTAGCTCCTCGAGGGGCTCTCTTGCCATTCCACTATGCCTGGAGATCAACTGCGCTCTACAGTGCCAGTTAGAGTAAGTACAGTCTTTCATATTTTTATATTCATTGGAGATTGTTTGTCAGTACTTCCGTGCTTTACCATTATCAGCCCTTTCCAGCATCAATCAAGAGTGCTCTGCAAGAGCCAAGCCATAAACGTGACAATAATGTGCTTGAAGCTTAGAATAAAGCGAAATGCGTTACGAATAATCTGCTGTACGTATTTGTAGAGCTCTGCACAACAAATTGTATGATAAAAAATCTAAACACCACCAAATGATACAAACTAAGAAATATTCATACCAGTTGCCTGAGCACACCCATGTTATGTTTAAATTTGCGAAAGTGTCATCATATTTCAAGAACCAACCTCTCATAATGACTTATATGAAAAGTAAATATTTTTATTGTTTAATCATTTATACATCGTCCATGTAATGGTCGTCTAGTACTTTTACCATAAATATTATCTAAACTGTTTTAAATAGAAGATATAGCATTTTATAAGATGGGTTTTATATATATTTCCACAATCTCTTAGTCTACTTGCAAGTGTTACAAGTTTTGGATGTCGCCATGACAACGGTATTACTTTTCGTATACGAGTTTTATCAATTCAAAAATGCGGTCCCATGACGTCATAATTTCATTAGACGAACATTCAATAATATTCCTTTGTATCCATGGAAAATGGACCACCCCACTCTTTGGTTCTCCGCCCGTGTGTCCACAAAAAAAAGCTGGGGACGCAAAACCACCCACAAAATACAGACTGTTTGATGTGGCCTCTGTAGCTTTGCCAATTACGTAAAAGCAAGCGCCAAAGAAACAAAAGCCTCGTCATGTACAGGGTGTCTTTAACGTATGGACTTTCCTTTACAACCCGTATAAGGCAGGCAACATTGAGCAAGTCTTCCTAATTACACATGCAACAAAGCCTTAAAATAAACCATATATTAAGTTCCCAATAGGCCAGCCCGACCCTGCAAGACACGTCAAAAATTAAGATGTTCTGTGATACGATGTGAGCCAGTATGCTAAGCATACGTCGCGCGGTGTGTATGTTAAGCAAATAATTCAGAACAGGTAGAAAGTATAAGCCTACGACTTGTTTGTCCCCAAATCCTCAGTCTGTACTACAAGTGGACATAAGTTAATTTTTAGACAGTTCTGTCATTAAATTAGTATTCTTATTATTTGAAAGTGCTTGCAGGTAATTGTAGTCTTGGTTAATTTCATGGTACAGGTAAGTTGTCACTTTGGTAGGCAATCAGTCAAAAGTATGCACTAAAACTACGCTATTTTGGCAACAAACAATGCAGTTTAAACATATAGGCTTGGCTCCTCCTATGTCTTTGAATCGAACGACAACAACTCAAACAGTATATAAACAAGTGACACAAGTGTTTTACCGCGCATCATTAGTGTTGTTGAAATAAGACAACACAAAGAGCCATCTATAACTGGAATTGATCAATGTGAAAGTGAAAACAGCAAGCTTTATCCCAGTTCGCATTGTTAGTCGGATCACCGCTGTGACCGCTAGATGCCGCCGATTCTGGCTTTATAGTAGAGACGGTCTACTAACTATTTAACAAATTAGCAATACAGCTTTCGACCACAGACGGCCATGGACATTTATTTCGTGCTATTTGGTAACTCCCCAGCTTGGTCTCAGGTGGGGCAACGAACAAAAGCTGAGCTCCAGAGTATAAGGTTTATCTAAATAAGGCGACACAAAGTGCCATCGATTATCAGAATTGACCACAGAAAGCGTGATAGAGGATACTTGCTCAGCTTTCATTCGCTGTCCCTACCTGAGGAGTTGCGAAATACCACGAAACAGCTGACCATGGCTGGTCATCTGTGGTCGGACGTACGAAAGCTATATTATTGATTAATTTGGTTATTTCAAACGTAGTTGATTCTGAAAAGGATAGTCCCAACTTTCAGGACACCTTGTATACTACTGGTAATTTGATCAAGCCGCCAATAGTTTTCTGTTCGGTCAAAGAGTTCCCGGCAGTTGCTGGATAAACCTGGGAAATCTAATTAGATGCACCGAATAAAGTATTGCACCGGACCTGTTTCGTGTTTTAATCCAATTATTTAAATGCACTGTTGTCCATTTACAAGGTCGGCGGGAAACTGAAAATATGTTAAGTATTACATGAAAGTATATAACTTGGGAAATTATGCTTATCCTTTATTTTTATTTACAATAATGCTAACCTAAAATTTCAGATATTCGCGAAACAGCTGAATCCAAAATCTCGCTAAAAAACTGCATGTACGATTATATCGCAAGTAATCACTGCATTCTCAATAAAACAAGTAATACTTGAATAAATTGTCTCAGTTGTCATTATTTCTCATATCAGATACAAGATTTTATGTGATTGCAGAGCGGACGTGTACTTCTCAGGCGTTATAACTTTGCATACTACGAGTAGTTGGACCACTTATGACCGTCTGACCTCGTGTACGAAAATTGATTCCTAAGTAGAATCTCGCGCTGACATCCAAATGATTTCTGACTGATCAATTCCTTTTCTGATTTCCTGGAACCTTCGTGAGAACCTTTTTTTTAAATACGTGGTTGTTAGGTTTTAGGAGTATTTGGATTTTTAATAGACATATAAGTTACGCATAAGAATAGAAAGAGGTACCCCAGAGCCTGAAGGCTAATAATAAATTTTCTGATAAAACACTGTATTTGTGTTGTCTGAATATTTACACAGTGTCAAAAAGTTTAGACGCATCTATGCGACGTGTGATGAAAGTCAGTAGTGCCAAAGGTCCATTAAAAAAAATATCCAACTGCATCCCTTTCGGCACAAAAACAATACAAGTACTGGACTAGGATCAGGATAAAGAGATATTTCCATTATATGCGGCTTCATGAAGCATTACACACCAAATATGCAACAAAAAATCATACATTCAAATGAAGCACCATGTTTATTAATAAGTCATCATTTTTAAACCGAGTCTCTCTCTCTCTCTGTTAAATATCCATATACGTGTATTACAATACTGTGAATTATAAAACAGACAGAAAGATATAAATTGTGGAACAGCGATACATTTCATGACAACTTTTATTAAAATTCAGGAACATTAAATACAATGTGATTTGATTCTCATACACAAGGTTATTAAAACATATTTTGTTACCGAACATCTCGAGAAGCTAAGACTGTCGTAAAAATACCCTTGTTCCGTGAACACTATGTGTTCTGGATTCTCCGACAATATTTAATTAGCTGAAGAACCTCGAAAAGCAAATCAAATTAAAGTTGCGCATTTAGGTAACTAAGAAAATGGCACATAAAAAGTTTCGGAATTCCAGGTATTCCCGTAGACCGAAATAAAATTGCTTTTCCTACCCTTACTTGAGACGGGAAATAGAAGATACATTCCCACTGTCACTTTTTCTCCTCTACAAGACGGCATAATTAGAATTTCAATTTTACATTTCGTCCCTTGTCCGCAATTATCAACTTTATTTTTACTTCTCAAGCCTACTGGGGGTTGTAAGGGGGTGGGGAGAATATATCTCAATTTTTGATGCTGGTACACTTATACGCTCTCAATATTGGTAATTCTAAGCACCTACTAGGCATATTTCACAAAT